CATTTAGTTAATGCAATTCTAAATTCAGGCAAATAAGACCTGCTTCCCCCCCCCCCCCAAAAAAAAAAAAAGTAATCAAGATGTGTCCTGTTTATTTGATTTCTGCCCTCAGCCCTTCAATATAGCTGTTACTTGAAAGAGATAAAAAACGGTCTGGGGTAAGGGAAAAAAAAGTTTTGTGGGTCCTTCCTCTTTCTTTCATGTCCTCATTCCTTCCTGCTGTGGAAGATGAACTCTCGTGGGCAGTTTGTTCACTGTGGCCCTGAGCTGCACTCTCACCTTTTTATTTTTCACTTTTTTAAATAATAAAGGCCTTTTTTGTTTGGGGGGGGGGGGAGGCTGTGGTTGTGTGTTTTGGTATTGGGTTGGGGTTTTTCTGTTTCTCTAGCAAGAGACTTTGGATGGCTCAGTGGATCCTGCAACTTGCTTTCTATCATTAGAGGCAAAAACTATGTAGCGGTTTCTTAAATTAAAGTATAAGCTGTGTCTTGTACCTCTTTTTGCCTTGAGCCACCCTGCCCAGAAAAGACACAGCTACTTGATGGAAACTTCACCTGTCCCTCCCCACTTTTTTCTAAAACAATACCCTGGAGGCAACTCCTGGTCTTTCTTGTCCTACACCAGTGCAGTGAATGTTTTAGGAGTTTTATTTCTTTTTAACTCTCCCTCCAACTAATAAATTTTTGAATGTATCACTAGTGTTTGCATTTTCAAAGGCCTCAAGCAGTTTTGCTTTTACAGCCTGTCCCTTTCTACCTCCTCCTGCTGGGAAGGTAAGAGCAAGAAATGGGTATGCTGGAGATGCTGAATACTGTGACAAAGGTGAGCACACCTTGGTACTGAAAGCTCATAGGCAGCTGCATTGGGTTGGGATCCTGGGCAGCACCCTGACTTCTGCCACAAGCATCATGTTCTGCATTTGCTGTGCTCTGTCTGAGGCCCTGTGGAACAGCTGGGAATGTTAAGGAGGGAGCACAGCAACACTATCCTTCCTTGCTTTGCCCATGAAGTCCAGGGACTCCATCAGGAGGAAGGTCTGTGGTGAGGTTCAATAAAGCGAAGTGCTCGGTCCTGCACTCGGAATACAACAATCTGTTTCTGCAGGCTGGAGACTTACTGCCTCCCTTCCGTCCCCTTGCAAGCCTAAACAGGATGTTTTCCCCTTATCGTCAGCTCCAACAGGGCTCTTCTGTGGGAATTTTCTCTTTAAGTCTCTGTTCCACAGTGATGGTAGAACCAAGGTTGCTCTGCTGCACTTGGCCATCAAGGAAATGGAGAAAAAAAAACCCCAACCACTGCACAAGGGGCAGCCAGGTTTGTCCAGTGACAGGGCAGCATGGTGTGTTTGTCCTGGTTTTGGTACAACACCGTCTAGATCAAGAAGCTACTGTCAGCTCAAGGCAGGCAGGAGCTACAAGCAGGCCTGATCCCAGTCAGAAGGCCCAGACAGCACCGTCTCATTCCCCAACATGGAGACTCCTCTAGGAAGTCAGCTCTACAATGCCATAACCACTCCTCTAGCATGGCTGTGAAGCAGAAACATTCAGGCCCCAAACACATTTGACTCGGCCGTTGCTGTGCTGCAAACAATGTTGTATAGCAAATACAACACCTGTACACGTGTCCTGCTAATTTCAGCACTGCAAAAACAGATACTTCTCCACTCTTGAGCCTGGAGGGAACAGCATGGGCCAGGCAGGGTAAGCACCCTGAAGGGGTGGTTGGCAGTGATTACCTCAATTCCTCTGCCGATTTTCTGCATGAAGTCAAAGCACCTTGCCCCAGAAAACTGGCCACCAGCAGCACCCCAACCCCATGCCAGCATCACCATTACTCCAAGTCCTTGCATCCTGCTGCAGTCATATGATACCATTAACAGTCTTCTCCCTGGTCTCCTCTTTGCTGACTTAAGATGAGTAAATAAATATAACAGCAAATCTCATGGCTTTTTGCCAAAGTGCTTCTCCAAATCAGTTTGTTCTTTAAGGTATAGACAGCTGTCAAACAGCAGCTTTAGTTTTCCAATAACCTTGTAGATTATTTATGTACATGTATAGGTATTGATACTGGAGCACCACTGAATTTGTGAACAGCTGTTATTCAAAGCTTTAAGTAACCCATGCAAATAGACTAACTCAATTAACAGGGAAGTAAAAGTACTGGCATATTTTCATTTCACATTTTTATTAATAGATGTGCAGAAAAGACAAAACATAACTACTGAAGAGGAAGACAACACAAAAATGCATCAGTTAATTGTTTCTGGTAAATTATACTGAAAAAAAAAGGAAACCATCTGGGATTTCAGCTAAGAAAACTACTAAGAAATGTAGTGTACCCTGCTGGTTTCAGAATTGTTGAAAACTGTAAAACTGTATTTGAAAGGGCAGGTAGTTGCTAATGTAAACACTAATATTGGCTGAGATGAGAAAAAGGTTAAGAAAAAAACAGAATACAAAGATCAGGTAAACATTTTTCCACAATTTCTTAAATAGGTAAAAAAAGCTCAAAAAAAAAAAAACCACCACCAAAACAAACCCAAAACCCAAACATAATACCCTCATTTCAGTTTATATCTCAAAAAATGAAACCAGCAAGTCAACAAGCAATGACACTGAACAGGACAGTGGGGAAGAGAAATTAGTTTGGTTATGGTCAGAGCTCTCAAAATAGATTGCTTTCTGTCTTTAAAAAGGTTAACATGAGATAATGCATCTTACAACACCAAGCTTGAAAATACAACTCACTGGAGAGCATACAGTGAACAGTGAAGACAGTCAAAAATACAAGGGAAATCCTGAAAGCTGCAGTATCATTTCAAACCAAGTCAGCACAGCCAGTGTTGCCATACTCTGTTCCTTCATGCCCCAAACAGCCCCTCAAAGCTGGAGGCTGATGTTCCTGGCCCAGTGTGGCCTTGAGACCAGTCTTGCATCAAGTGCCAGAGGCCCATTTACCAACACCAGCATCACTCTCCCAGGGCTGGTGTGAAGCTGGGAGCTGAGGGGGAGGCCCACTGCTGGCTCCAAAAAGCACCAGGGGCTGTTAGTCCTTGATGGAAGGATGACCTGAAGGAGCCCTTGTGGGACACTTGAGGAGGGTTCCAGCTGCCTCCCCAGGTAAAAAGCAAGCAGGAGAGCAGACCATCACAGAACACACTGGGGACAAGGTATTACCACTTGGGCTGCCTTCATTCTGCTGAGGACACACTAGCACAAGCTGGGGCAGAGGGACAGGGACTGTCCTTGCTGCAGCAAACCCCAGCCAAGCAACATTCTGATAACTTTAAACAGACCCCCACAGACCTTCCCCTCCTCTCCCTCCAGGCAATACACTTTAAACTTGCTCACTCTCATCTTGCTCCTTGCTTCCCACCAAGCTGATCACAGAACAAAGTTTACTCCCACCAAAGTACCTCTTGAGGGACTGCAGCTGGTGATGTATCATTAAAACCACCAAGCTATACCAAATGCCTGAGCCTGCAGTTCTTATCAGGGTGACTGCCTCTTGTGAGAACAGAGGGTCCCGCCCAAGCAGGGCCAGCACCTCTGATCTGCTCCTGGGGCTGCCAGGGCTCAGCACAGAAGGGCAGGGCTGGCTGCCAATCCACGTGAAAGGTGAATTCAGGGAACAGTACTACAGCTGAACTACAGCACACTGCAATGGGGTGAGGGTGCTGAGGGCCCTAAGCTCTGCCAAGAGCTCCCAAAATAATACAGGAGGCTGAGCTCAGGGCATCAGCTGAAGCATACTCCTAAATAGGCTGTCAAACCCTGATTGCTTGCTTTCTTTTTCAGCCTGAAAGCACTGTGTACCCTTCTCTTTGTGGGGCTACACACATCCATCTGTGCCCCAGCCAGCCAGGCAGGAGGGAGCCCAGCACCCATCCATCTCTCTGCCCTATGTTCCAGAAGCCACTGCAGGCACAGGAACAGCCTGGCTGCCCCAGGGAGCTTTATCTTCTGCCAACCCCACAGAGCTACAGCAGAGCTGCATTTACCAGCAGGTGACCTACATAAGCAACAGAAAGAAGGCTCAGGCCAGCACTGGACTTGGGCTGCAGGAGGCAAGGGCTACTAGCAAGCACTGGAGAAGGAGACTCTCCCACTGCCAAAAAGAAGTTCAGGATGAATGCTGGCCCACTGGGCAGTGGGATACACTTTTGTTTTCCTCCCTCAGTAGAGGGGCAGCTAACAGCAGATCCCAGAAGAATGGCTAAATGAAACTTTTTCAACCCAGACCTAGTGTGAAAAAAATAATGCAACCCAGGGCTCAGTTGTACAGATGTGAAGTGTTAAGTGTTTATTTTAGGGTTCATATCACAAGCCTTTTTCAGAGACAAAGCTGATTGTGCCCTCTGGGGATCCAGGGGCCAGCTACTTCCTAATTTGATCAGGCTAAACAGATTCCTGTACCTTTCAGTAACATCCCATCAAGCTCAACACACAGTAGCTTTACACTTTCCACCCCACACCTTATAAAGGAAAAGCCACCACCACAAGGCTAAACAAATGTACACACGCTATTATTATAAATGGAGCAGCTAAACCCTGGCAATTTGCTTTGTGTGGATTTTTTTCTTCCCAGTAAATGCAGTACTTGAGCTCCTGAAAATTCGTCTTCCAGTGGGTTTGTTCCAGCTTTAAATACATTAAACATCTCAATGCAAGACTGTATTTAATTCAAGAATCTAAACACAAGCAAACATGTTTCACTGTGAGCATTTTGTAGAAGTGAAAAAGGGAATTTCTTTTAAAAAAAGAAATCATAATACAGTGATGAAAGGGTTAAGAATGCAAGAATTCAGACATTCTGTGGAGGGTCTCTAAGAGGTCCATAAAAAAGGAGCAAACAGATCCATACAACAGGAGACAGCAGGAGACAGTTTTTTTTATCCCCCCCCCCCCCACCACTATGTTTTTGCTGGACTCCTGCTAGGTTACCACTGCTCCCTTCTGGCCTGAGTTGACAGGGCAGTACAGGGCCATAGAGGGAGCAGGTCACGACTCCTCATTGCCAGAATCATCATCATCGTAACAGTCGGCATCCTCTTCCTCCTCATCTTCGTCATCAATGTCATCATCATACAAGTCGTCATAAAGCAAATCTGAACTGTTGTCATTGGAAGGCACTTTAGTTTTGATGCAGTATTCTGCCAGTGTAGTGGGGACCTTCACGCCATCCTTCTCTGCCTCAGCTTTGGTAGCCAAAACCTGTTTCCTGTGGGGAGGAGGACACAGCAACATGAGCAAGGCCGTGTACTGGCAGCAGTGTGGCTCAACTCCCCACCTCCCAACCACCCCCTGCCCAGCCCTCCTGGCAGCTCAGTCAGAAGAGCTAATGTTTGGCTGAAGCACCACAAGCATCACTAGAAACAGATTTAGTTCCTGCAGCCCCAAGCTTGGGAGCACTCCAAGGGTGTTTGCAGCACACACACTCTCAGCAACATATGAAATCAATTATTCTACAGGACTCTGTATTAGAGATCTGCCAGAACTCAAAGCAAATTCCATTACATTTTTTACAGAAGGGATAGTCACAGATTTCCTAAGATGACTTAGGAAATGCCATCCAGAGATGCTATCCACAGCCACTCTCTACCACTGATGACTCTACCCTAACATGCTCAAAACTCTAATTCCCACAAGCATTTGTCAGCTCTGAGCTCCCCCTGGAGGGTAAGAGCAGGTGGCTGCACTCTGAGATGCAGCTGCAACCCCAACACTGACCAAGGATAGCAGGAAACAAGTGTTTCCCTTTGCTCCAGGATGGGCTCTGGTTGGTGCCTCAGCAGTATTTGAGCTGCGAACTGTTGCTGCCTCCCAGCAGGGAGAGGAGCAGATGGCAGCCTGTTCCTTTACTCCCACCCACGTGCTCAGTCTGCCATACTCTGTTTATGGAGTACATCCAGCTGAAGCCAATGCAGCTGGAGGGGACTAAAATAACCTCCCAGCAAGGCTCTTTGCACAGCCCAGGACAGTGACTGACTGCCCTGCGTAGCTCCAACCAGGGGTATATCCAGCTAGCAGTCAAGGTATACCCGGTCTTGCCCCAGGCAAGCATGACAGCAGTCCCACTGCAGTATGGGCTGCCCATTTTCACTCCACAGCAATCTTGGCTCAAGTTTACATCTCCCTACAGCACCTGATGAACCATGAATTTCTCAGAAAAGGACAGTCATGACTAAACAGCGCTTCCAGCTAATCAAACCCAACTGTGCAAGCACTTGCCAAATCCTACTGATCCTCCTTCAAATTGGAGGGACAAGATTATGATTCATGAGTGAATTAAGCACAGAACTAGTAGCATGAAGGCAGTTTGAATCACATCTCAAGCAATGCAAGCAGTCCTCAAAGGTACACAGGGACTTAGACTAGAATTTACTAGCAGCTAATAGGTTTTGCAGAGTATCGTGCCAGATTAGTCTGAAAAAGAACAATACAAAGACACAAGTTTGCACCATTTCTGTCCAGAAGAATGAACTTGGAATAAAGCTGTAAAATTCATTTTGAAAGGAGCAACCACAGTGAGAAGCTGGTTTTAGCAAATTCTGAAATCAGCCTATTTCATAGGATTCAAAGCAGGAGGCCAGTAGCACAGCATCACACAGAGCAAAGTTTACCTTATGATTTCAGCATACTCCTTGTCTTTTCCTTTACTGTCCCTCCATTTCCTGAACATGACTGATGCATCCACGTTGGCAGGAGAGAATGTGTTGGGCTCATTAAGCAAAGAGATTACACTCAGTAAGATAGTCCTGAAACAGGTAATCACAACAGCAAAGTCAGAGCTAACACATTCACGGATTCTGGATGCTGACAATTTCTTTGGGTGATGCATCAGAAACATGTTTAAAGTCAAAACTTATGAATAATTAAGGATATCTAAGTGTAGTGGGTTGATGTTGGCTGGATGCCAGGCACCCACCAAAGCTGCTCTCACTCCCCTCTGCAACTGTACAAGGGAGAGAAAATATAATGAAGGGTTCATGGGTTGAGATAAAGGCAGGGAGAGATCACTCACCAAATACCATGACAGGTGAAACAGACTTGAATTGGGGATATTAATTGAATTTATTACTAACAAAATGAGAGCAGGATAATGAGAAGTAAAATAAGACCTTAATAAAACACCTTCCCTCCATCCCATCCTCCTTCCCAGCTCTACCTCCTCCCCCCAGCAGCACAGGGAGATGGGAATGGGGGTTATGGTCAGTTCACATTGTTTCTGCCACTGCTCAGGGACAGGAGTCCTTCCCCTGCTCCAATGCGGAGTCCCTCCCACAGGAGACAGTCCTCTACAAACCTCGCCAACATGAGTCCATCCCACAGACAGTTCTCCAGCTCCAGTGTGGGTCCCTTTCCATGGGGTGCCATCATTCAGGCACCACTTGCTCCAGTGTGGCTCCCCCATGGGATCACAAGTCCTACCAGGAAACCTGCTCCAACATGGGCTCCTTTCTCTCCATGGGTTTGAAGGTCCCTACCAGTAACCTGCTCCAGCACAGGCCTCCCACAGGTTCACAACTCCCTCTCAGGCATCCCTCCGCTCCAGCATGGGGTCCTCCATGATGGAAGGGGACAGCTGCTTCATTATGGTCTTCACCATGGGCTGCAGGGGATTCTCGGCTCTGGCGCCTGGAGCACCTCCTGCCCCCCTTCTCCACTGACCTTGGTGTCTGCAGAGCTGTTCCTCTGACGTTCTCACCCCACTCTGGCTGCAATTACAACTGCATAGTCACTTTTTTTTCTTTCTTCTTAAATATGTTATCACAGAGGCGTTACCATCATTCCTGATTGGCCTAGCTTTGGCCAGCAGTGGGTCCATCCTGGAGCCGGCTGGTGTTGGCTCTGCTGGACATGGGGGAAGCTTCTGGCAGCTTCTCACAGAAGCCATCCCTGTAGCCCCCTTGCTGTCAAAACCTGGCCATGCAAACCCAATACACTAAGGACTGATGCCATTGGGGTTTTGCCTTTTTTTTTTCTATGTTTTCTATATTCTTCACACATATATTTGTAGCTGTGTAGTCTATTGTATAAGTGACTAGATTTCCCAGTACTTTTCTATGGCCTTTCCCTAGGCAGAAAGACAAAACAAATTCCAGAGCTCCAAGTCCTGGGATGTACAAGACCCCAATGCTATCTTGGTTCTTTCTGGGAACCAAGGTTGAGAACAACTCTTTGAGATACATTTCATGGACAAAGTACAACTAGTGCTGAAGGAGGGACTCATGAGAAGGGGCTTAACCTGGGGGGAAATTGCATCACCACTTGTCCTCCTAATTGGTGCTTTTTATTAATTATGCTAATTTACTATAAAAATGTACTCACCCCTGGGGGGGGGTGGGCTTTTGCGGACATCTTTCCATAACTGCCTCTGGAAGCCTTCAAATAAAGATCCCCCTTTATATTACCTCCTTACTAAAATTATCTCGAGTTTCATTTCCAGATTGGGAAAAAGGCAACAGGACAATAGTTGAAGTAAGAGCAAATACTTATGAACTTCAGACCTTGGTGATCAGCATAGGGAAGATGACACAGTACAAACCTCAAAGACCTAATCTGATGACAGACTATCGTGTCAGTACACATTTGTGACAGGGCAGCAGGTAAAGCTTGCATCAGACCAGAATTCTGTTAATCCATACCACCCATAGATAGTGCAGGGTTGGAAACCTGCTTAGTGAGCCTGTTCTTCATGACATTCAGCCTCACAGCAGAAAGCCAGGCTCTTTGCTTATCCTGACTGATACAACCCAAAGCCATCAGATGAGGCTGCATTGCCTTCCCTACCCCGCAGTGTATTAAGAGGTTGGAGCTGTGGCCAGGTGTCCCTTCTCCTCAGCCTGTGTGCCAAGACTGCTGTAGCAGTACTTGAAAAATATCTGCACTGTCTTCCTCTTGCTGTACTCAACACTCAGGCAAACCGACAAGGGCCCAGCAAGACTGAACTGCTGGTACTCAGCAAAGCCAGCATGAGCCAGTCACATAACTCCTGGCAGACAGACAGCCTTCCTGGATTTCTAGCAGCAGCCCAGAGCTAGCCAGCTGCCCTGCTCTGCTGGCATTTATCAGGGACAAACACCACCTCCCTCTGCTGGCCAGACCCTTTTGCATTTCCTACAGCTCTTTGCAGTTCAGAGATTCAGCCCTTTGTTCCTCACACAGTGTCACAACCAGCACAAAACTCAACAGCAAATCCCATCAGGCAGCTCTACACACCTGGCCACCTGGCTGTAGCTACCACTGCAATAGCTTCCTGCGTCTGAGGTGGTCCTACTTTGAACAGCTTTTAATTTAAATGGAAGGGAAGAACAAGAGACAAGGAAATAAGTCTTGAATTACAGCAGTACATAGCAACTGCTTTGCAGAACATGATTAAAGGAGACTACAGCCCCAACTGTACTTGAATTGATTTAGAGGCATATTCAGAGCAATGTATGCTGAGCATATCTACAAGCATATTGTTATAAATGACAATATAGTATTAGCTTTCACATTTATGTATTAGCTTTGGCATATTATTAATTATCACAAAGATTTTGATATGGTACAATTTATATTTCCTTTTAACTGCTTTTTGGTATAGTATAATCTGTCAGTTTAAGTATGCACCATATAGCTTATATAAATAGTAGTGTGATAAATATATCTTAGACTGTAGCATAATATTAAAATAGAGACTATGTGATGTTAAAATGCTTTTTTACATAACTAACTCAGAGAATGGTGTAAGATAATTAGGTGGTTCCCCCATTTTGTGGACTATCTTATCTGAAGGATAAGATAACAGGGACAAAAACCAGAACACCAAGAGAAGAATTTATTGATTGTTATCAAGGCATGCAAAAACAGCAAGATGGAATCACAAGAAGAAATAAAATATATTGATTTAATCTACAAGATGGCATGAAGACAAATCAAAGGTTAAAACCAAGCAAAAGAATTCCTGGAACATCTTAACTCCCAGGAATGTTTGAATAATGTATAAACTCTCATGAATATGCATGTACCCCTGTCATGTAACAATATAGAAGAACACTGTTTTAAGCTAAAGGTATGGTTTTTTGCCAATCGCCAAAAACACGACAGTGCTAAATATTTGTCCCTTTTTATCCCTTATTAATCTTTTAAAAATCTCAAAGAATAAGCTCAGTTTTTCACAGAATAATTTATCTGGGATACAATTCCAGGAAACATTTGGCCATTTGGATGACGACTTTATAGGAAGGTTTTGAAACTAAACACTTACATCCAGCCAGACTGTTCAGCATAGCTATCAGGAGAGTCATATACAATTTACTCTCCAAATAATGTAATTCAGTAGGAAATAGAACAGCAGCTATGGAAAAAGCTGTCTGGTCAGACTGGAATGTTGATCAGAAAATAAAACATCTTTTACTTCAACTCAAGAATTCACTTAAAAGCCTTTGAATTATCAACAATCAGGCTGCAAAGCCAGCACATCAGCTTCAGCATCATTACTGTAAAGCAAGCAAAATATCAAGAAAGCCAAGGACAGGAATTCACATCTGGATTTAGCACCCACTCTACTACAATCTATCTACTGTCTATTAGAGGTGAGACACTGTACACTTTTCATTTCTGACCAGCACATTAGATCAGCTCCATCACTGCTCATATCCTTAAGAGCTGGCCATTCTCCTTAACTCAAACCCTGCTGCTGTGGGTAAGCAAGGTGAACAAGGTATAGTAACAGGAAGGGATCCCAGAACAGGGGATCTGACAGGACAGACACCACAGAAAAGTTCAACCATGTGTGACTGAAAACATCCTTAGCATCACATACAAACTGCACCAGACTGGGTACAGACTGACCCTCTCCAGTATAGTTATGGATCTGTTTCTCCCTTAGATGAGGTTCTAGCATGTGGTTTCATGTGAGTTGTTTGCAAGAAGAGTGGGTATTTAAAGCCCACCTTTGCTTTCTTATATCCCCCACCCCATTCTGGGGAACAGTGTGCTCATCAGCTGGCATATCTCTTTGGTTTGTGTTTACAGTGCTGTTGTCTTCAGAGTGAGTGCCTGTCCTGGTTTAGGAATGGTATTCCCCAATTTAGTACTCCCACTAAAAAGACCATGACCTGCAGTTGGCTGCCTCCCCCCTTCGATGGGAGGCACAAAAGATCACAGGTTGAGATAAAAACAATTTACTGGAAACAGCAATGACATTAGAAAACAACAATAACAGCAACAATATAAATAACAAAAGTGTACAAAAGGGAGAGTGATCCACAGGCAAAAATGCTCACCGTGAATCCTGGGGAACAATGAAGAAATGGTGGGCAGGTTTCCCCCTCCTGCCACACCACAGTTTTCTCCACTGGAAATCCCATCCTTCTTAGAAACCAAAAAGTACCCTAACCCCACACTGGCAATGATGTGAGGTGGTATAAAATAATCTCCTAGCCCTGCCCATACAGGTCCAGGCTCCACCCCCTCATTGCTACTGCAAAAAAAATTAACTCTGTCCTGGCTGGAACCAGGACAGTTCCTCTACACGCCTTTATCAGCAGAGAGAAGCCAGTAGAGGATCAAGGAATCAGAACCGTTAACTGCATTTTTTTCTCTCCATGTATGAACAAAAGTATCAGACTTAGCCTGTACTGAAAGTTTTGTTACATCTGAACAGTTTCTGCAAACAGCTCAATGCACTAAAGCAGCCAGAAAAAGCCAACAAAATGTTGCCACATTATATCACAGTACAAGCTGGCTTGTACTGGGCAATAATTTGGCTACCCAGCCAGTTCCATAAAACCAGTCTCTGGGTTGAAAGACAGGAACCTCAACCAATTACATTCCATCCTAAGCTGCAGGCATATCACTGGTCCAGGATCTGAGGGGCATAAAAGATCAGACCAATGGCTGTCTAGACCCCGGAGTTTTGAAGTCCCTATAAAAGAAAGCTCTGAACAATAAAACACAGTTTGCTGATGACCCACCGGTGTTGTGTCGTGTGTCTGTCTCTGACCCTACGATAACAGCAAAAATGGGTATCCTCAGAAAACAAAGCAGTAGTAAGATGAGGCACCACATATCAGCACAAAATACAGATATACCAACATCTTGAATATTGTGCTGAATTCTGGCCTGTGCACCTTAAAAGACAGAGTGAGGCCAGGCTAGATGGAGAAAGGTAACTAAAATTTATCAAAGAGCCTCAACCCCATAGCCCTGCAACCACTTCCTCAGCTTTATGGGACATAAGAAAAGCAATACATTCTGCCATACAGATCACGACTGCATTCCTTCACTTCTTGATGGAAGTTTGCTATATTTACTTATGCCAGCCTCATCTAGCTCCAAGTGATGGGAAAGTCCATATTGACTGTGTTTAGAAAAAATTAATGAGCATGCTTGAAACCATTAGGTGGAGAGATGCACAAGTGCTCTCAAAGTTGAAGAATTACATTCCTCACTCCAGACACTTCAACCACAGTCATCTGTAGTAAGCGGATTTACAAAATTCAGCAGCTGATGAGAAGCCCTAGGTTACACAGGCAGTAGGCTAACAGTGAAGGACAAGTTTTTTTTCTGCTTGCTAATACAGCTGAGGAATGTTTTCTCTCCAAATATCACTGTTAAGATGAACATGTTCCAAGAGTAAGCACCAAAAACTGCACCATGGTAAGGGAGAGCAGAAATCAGAGAACTAGTACCATAAGAAGTTTCATGTCAATATTTAGGGTTGTATATTGTGAAATACTCAAAATGTGTGCGCATTATAAGCAACTAATGCCCAAAGCTGTTTTCTAACTATAAGTTGAAGCTTGTCACCTAGTCTTAACCATATCAGATGTTTGAAAAAAACAGTTTAATAGCCATCTGAGAAGAGGGACAGGTGAATGTAGCTTAGCAATATAACAAATTAAGATAGTATTTAAGCCTATTTTTCTTTTTTATAAATCTGACCTAGAATGTATATTTGTTACAGATGGATTGGATAACCTTTACCTCAAGCTCTAAGGATCAGATTACCAACCCTTCATGACTTCATGCAGCTAAGATACACAATTTCTCTTGGGCCCTTTTAACCTTTAAGTAGCATGCTCTAGAAGGAAGATCAGTTGTTATAATTTACTGACTGCTTCAATTCCTAGTCTCCTGCTATGTTAGCTCTAGTTCAGCACTTTGCAATGTGTGTTACAATCATATTTCAAGGGTCAAGAATCCATTGAATCCCCTTTGTTAGATCTTTGCTTTGATAGAGGCTCCTTTCAAATGAATTTTGTGAAGCCAAGTTAGATGAAAGCTGAGTTAAACTGTCAGACAATATTTTTCAAATCACTATATTCCCTCAGATGTCCTGATGTCCTTACTGGATTTACCAGTAAATAACAGATTTCAAGTTGAGGAACCAGCACCTAATAAATCTGAGAGCAAGAATAATTCTCATATGATAAAAATCTAGAGGCAATTATTTTAACCTTATTTGGATAATAAATCAGTTTAAAATGTTAGAACAGGAAGTACCTTAGAGTTTTTTCACTACATCACTTACTACTCCAGCTGCACAGGTAAACTGCTACTTGATATGAGTTTTATCAGTTCCTTATTGGCAGTGTCTTGTAATAAGAATGAAATTCAGCTGGTGTTTAAAATGAAAAAAAAAGGACATGTCAGCCCCAAATGCCTCTAATACTTAGTGATCCTTTGTGTCTTTTTGTCAGGAAGAAAGCTACCTGGCTAACCACTCAAGATATCACACTGCAGGACAGGAGACACACAAATACTGTAAAGCAAACAGCAGGCAGGATTATGAACAAAATTACTCCTACAGTGCAAAATACCCAAAAATATTATTTTCCACTAGTGGTATCTTGGAAGAGTTTTAAAACCCTAACTATAGGATAATAATGACCAGGGAAGGGCAGAAAATTTGAAATCAGTTGCTTTGGGAGCATGAAAGCCTGCAAACAGGACAGAATTCTCTACATTGTTACTCCATCATCAGCACACCTCAGCATCAGCACTTTTGACAACTTCTTAAGTCTGGTTTGCACCCAGTTAAGGACCTAAAGCTCCTAAAGTCTTGAATTCTGTTCCAGAACTTTCCCAACACAGGCCATAGTCTTGGAGAGAGATCACAGGCCTTTGAGGTCACTGTTGTACATCACAGATTCACAGTTACCTGACATTTTGGGTAGGGTTCCACCTCTCGGAGGGCAGCTCTCCACTTTGCGGGTCATCTACAGGTGGGTGAAGAATTGAAATACATACATCCCCATTCTGCAAGATAGAAACAAAAGTTGAGAATAGCCTGGTTTGAGGCAGAGATTTGATGACACAACCAGGCCAGTTAACCCAAATGGAGCAAAGGGATATTCCACACCATATGGTGACACGTTGGTGTTTGTGTGTCTGAGATTTAACACACAACAGACCTCCTTTGGTCATCAGCCAAACAGCATGTTTTATTGTTCGGGGCTTGCTTTTAAAGGCAATTCAAAGCTCCCGGTTCCTAAACAGCCATTGGTCTCATCCCCATGCCTCCCACACTCTGAACCAGTCAAATGCTTGTATTTTAGGAGACTTGTTATTGGTTGAGACCTCTGTCAGTCAGCCTAGAGACTGGTTTATGGAACTGGGCTGGGTTTCTTATTTGTAAATGGATTATGTTCAGTACAAGTCAGATTGTACTGCAACATCTCACCCTTTTGTCTTTACTAAAATTGTAACTTGCTCTCTGACATCTATTTGCAAGGGTCCCTTGCAATCAGGGTGACAGAAAACAGCATGGTTTTAATTTTCATAAATTATATATTAGTGAAGCTGAAGCATTTTGGTTCAGAGTCTGTAGGCAAGAATTCAGGTTAGCATGTTACAGGCTTAAAGTTTAGGTTACAAATAATTTATCTTTAAAAATGTCCTGGATTGCCAAACAAATTGTATTCTATTTGCCATCTGTATGGCAGATGTCTTCTGTTAAGTGGACAGTTTTCCTTATCTCTTCCACAACCGATCCTCCCTCTGGGGAGACATCTGCTGATAATAGGCTTTTGAATGTCACTGCATGACTGATAAGAACTATAGCATCCCATTGTGAGATGCTCAGCTTAGAGGGAGGAGCCAAGTATTCTTTCCAGATATAATCTGGAGATTCTAGAACACCAGCATGGCCTTTTCCACTGGATTTCCCAGAGGAACAGCTGCCTCTTCCACTGGATCTTCAGAGGACGACTACATCTTTCTACAGGATTACTGCTCCAACAGAACCACACCTGACACTCCAGGAGGACTGCAGCCACATTTCCAATTGGACTGCTAACAACACCCTGACCAACAGGGTGTCAGGTTGTGTTCTGACTCTGTCAGTGTTGTTTTAGTTTACTGAATTGTTTATTTTATATTTTTATTTTCTTCTCTAATAAAGAACTGTTATTCCTGCTCCCATATTTTTGCCTGAGAGCCCCTTAATTTAAAATTTATAACGATTTGGAGGGAGGGGGTTTACATTTTTCCATTTCAAGGGAGGCTCCTGCCTTCCTTAGCAGACACCTGTCTTTCCAAACCAAGACAAAAAAGAACAAACTACTTAACTATTAAAGAAAAGTCTAATTAGTAGAAAAAACAATTTGTAAACAGAAAAACAGTTTGTAAACTTGAAAAATAATTTGTAAACAAAATTGTAAGTTATATCTTAACTCTAAACTGAAATTAAAAACTTTCAAATATTCAACTCTCAAACTGTAAGAAAAAAGCAAACTTAACAGATAAAGCAATTTGTAAGCAAATAAGAGTCTCTATATGAACTGTTATTTCAGTAGTCTCAGATTTCTGAGGTAGTTATTAATTGTTCTGGTTTCACAGTTCTGTGATATCTGTTGACAGGACATTGGGTTGATGCTGTGCTTCCAAGCAGGATGTAGTTCGGGCTGGATACATCAAGTAGGTGTCTAGCATGTTCCAGAGTCCATGGAAATGTATTTATCATAGGATTATTGTACTGTTATATGATTGATTGAAAGACATTATATTACCTTAGACTTAGAGAGGGGGTATACATTCACTCCAACCTTTCACCCCCCCTTTTTTTTTCTTTGTATTAATGATTAAAATTAGGATCAGAACATGGACTTTGAACAGTATTAATAAGGTACTATTACCTAGAGGGTTGCTGAGAGGTGTCTTTTTCACTATGAGGACTTGAAAGAACCCCTTCTGGACAAGGCTTTCTCATTTATCGCAAGGGGAAAAGGGTTTAGTTTTTGTAAAGTTTGTATACTAATATAATTTTTTTACCAGCCAGGTTCATGGCTTCATCAGGCCATGACTTGGTTGGGAGAGATTTTCTGTATTTTATATTTTAAAAACAAGCTTGTATTAATATCTAATGCAAGAAATTTTTAACATGAACAACTTATGAATAATTAAAGAAATATAGGTATTTAAATGTTCTAGTTACTACGGTAAAAGTGCAAGTAATATACCTTTCTTATTTTTGTTAGAGGTTAGAAATTTGTTATTGATTTAACAGGTGACTTTTAGGCTTTTTAAATGATGACACGTGGCAAATTCTCAGTTAAAAAAATTTGCAGCTTAAATTTGCTTATGATGTTAGTAAATTAATGTTCTATGTATGCTTTAGTGGACCTAGAATGTTAGGATGAGGATATTCTTTGAATCTTCCAGGTTGATTTAGAAACAATGCAGGCAGAAACTAGGAGTACACCAAGACTTGTTAACATACATCCTAGGACCTCTTTGAGACAGAGTAGCCCATACCTGAGACAGAAATGTAATATTTTCTTAATAACTTTAGCAGAATCAGCTATCACAGGCTTATCAATTTTGGTTTTAGCAAATGCAAAAAACAATAATAAATATTGTACTATGAGTTCTAGGGCATATTTAGTAAACTACTGTGTGATTTTGTAACCCTTGTGTGACAACCCTTCAATATTTTTACCCTTAGCACATGTTATTAGTTTATTAGAGTTTGTGGAATATGAGAACTTTTCTATAGTTGAAATATCAGAAGGCAGGGTGGCTGTGAAGTTTCGTTGAGGTTTAAGGGGTATGAATTTGGTCTTTGCTTTTTCACTGTCCATATGTAGGGAGGTGCTGGTTTCCCACTGGACTTGATAGTGGCTCACTCTTAGCTGCTGTAAAACGGCTGTGCCATGTGGTCAGCACCATCTTTTCAGGATGGCTTGATTGCTCTTACTCCCATGGCACCACACCCCTACACGCTTCTTTCCACTGCTTTTTGCTGGGTAGGCTCCCTGCAGGGACTTTTCCCACGCTCTGCTTCTTGATTTGGTGTCTGCAGCTTTTCTCAGATCCGTCGTTGGAGGCAGAGTTGGGGGCGGGGCCATGCCCACTGGCGGCGTGGCTGTGTTCTCCGAAGGTTGGCTTGGGGACGGAGCCCTGCCCTCTGACGTAGGCTGGATCAGGGGTGTAGGTATGTCCTCCGACGGAGGCGTGGTTAAGCTCCCTGAAGTTGCGGGTGTTCCCTTGGGACAGGGCCACCCGGTTTCAGGAGACAGTCTCGGTGTTTTTATGGAGATGGGGGCTGCGGGGCTGGGACTGAGCCAACCAGCTCTGGGCAGGAGTGGTCTGGGCGTTTCCATGGCGATGAGGGGCGTGGGCTGCCCTGGCTACGGGGGGGGAGGGGGGGGGCGGTCTCGGGAACAGCATGGGGTTGAGTCATGGTCACAGACAGTTGTGAAATGGCGACAGGGCTCGAGTCACTGTAGGAACCCTGAGGAGCAGACACGGAGTAGCATTTGCGCGGTGCCGACACTGGACGCCCCGGTGTCGCTAGGACCCTGCCGCCCCCTTCTGTTTCACTGCGTGGTGGTGTCCCCGTTTGAGGGGAGGGAAGTGGGGGGATGGCTCTCTCAGGAACAGTGCCGGTGCGGGAGGGGAATTTAAGGTAGCTAAGCCACAAGGAACAGCATGGCTGGCCATTTCTTCCAGCCACGTGCTCTATGGGTTTGGAAAGGCACCTACTCCCCCCAAAAACTCATCTGGTGTGCTTTCCTCACCATATATTTCAGTATTTACCAGTCTTATTAAATCCAAGATAAGTCCCTGTAGCAATGTATCTGAACAACTTAGGCCTCAGTGTGCACCAGCCATAGCACTTGTAACTGTTCTTATCAGAATTTTCTCAGGGCACTGTGGAATTCATCAAGGTTACTAAGACATTAACTGTGCTAAAATAAGAACAAAGAAGCTGAGAAACCGCATACCAGGATCGGAAGAACTAGTTAACAGAGGACTGTGAAACACCTGGACTGTAACCAATCACAGATGCTGAGAAATGGAGGCAGAGGAGAGAACAAGACAAAGGCACCAATCATGAAGGGTGTACTTAGTAGTGTGTAGAATCTATAAAAGCATGTATAATGTAAACAATAAACGGCTTCTGCTTGATCATATTGGTCAGTTATACAGGAGTCCTGGATTTCCCACAATAAGTCTCCACGGGTTTATAACTTGTATTGCATTTTCCTCTCCCTTCGAGGCTGCCCTGACAATATATTGACCGGTTCATGCCAAGGTATTAAAGTCAAAAGCAGCTTCTTTAGTTGTGTCTAAACCGTGGTTCTTAGCCCACATCATTAATGCTAATAATGCTTTTTCATCATAGTCTACGTCCCATTCCTCAAGAAGAAGTTTCCATACCTTTAGTACTGGGTGGTCCTGTGTAGAAATAAAGTTTCCCATGTCTCCAGTGGGGTTTTTCTTCTATTTTAAGCTTCTCCGGTTTCTTTTTTCACATAGCACTTGGGCTGTGACTTGCAGCCTTTGCTGCTGCTTTTGGGCTCTCCCTGCCTCTTTCTTTCCAGCTTTTTGCTGTAGGGACAGGCTCAGCAGGCTCTGCCGTGTCTCTCTCTTCTCTCTCTGCTCTACCTGCAGGCCAAAAGTTTGGGCTGCTTGTCATCACACCAGGGTCACTACATGACACGTTGGTGTTCGTATGTCTGAGACTTAACATACAACAGACCTCCTTTGGTCATCAGCCAAACAGCATGTTTTATTGTTCGGGGCTTGCTTTTAAAGGCAATTCAAAGCTCCCGGTTCCTAAACAGCCATTGGTCTCATCCCTATGCCTCCCACACTCTGAACCAGTCAAATGCTTGTATTTTAGGAGACTTGTTATTGGTTGAGACCTCTGTCAGTCAGGCTAGAGACTGGTTTATGGAACTGGGCTGGGTTTCTTATTTGTAAATGGATTATGTTCAGTACAAGTCAGATTGTACTGCAACAATATGGCATCA